GCTCTGCGCTCCCTTCCCCGGGGAGGGAGGGCGGGAAGCTGCGCAGGTTTAAAACAGCAGCTCCAGGACGGAGAACTCGACAACGGCTCGGTGCCTTTTCTTCCCCTCTGTTCTTTTTCTTTTTCCCCTCCTGGTTGAATCAATAATTAAGCATACTCTAAGCAGTGCAGTTTTGCTTGAAATTTTCCATTTGGCTTGCACATTAGTTGGAAATGAAATATTTAGAGGACAGAATACAGTAATAAAGCCAAGGCACATTTTCTGCTAGTATATTTTATTTATTTTGTTTAATAATGAGGTTCTGTGTCTGTCTCTACCCCCCTCTGTATCAGTGGCTTTCTCCTCTCCCCCTTTCCTTTGTAGGAGGCAGGAGATAATATCCCCCTTTTAAAAAAATAATAAAGTCAGGCTTGTCTAACAAATCAGGTCCTATGCTCTGATGTTGTAAGTGTTCAAAGGAGTTTCCCAGAAGGCTTAGGGAGGAGTAACCCAGCATCTCAGCACTGACGCTCCTGCTAACCAACGATTTCTCTGCAAGGGCAAAGCAAAAGGGATTCCTTCACTTAAAATTATTGGTTCCCCGGTGCAAAACCTTTAATAATTCCCCGGGAAGAAAATGGATCCTTTCCATGCGGGAACACAACCCGTCCGGCGCCGTCTCCCCCTCTGTGTCTCCGCATTTCCACTTGCGAAATACATTCCGACTTGTTTGGGGCCTTTTTTTTTTTTATCTCTGTCTGCGGCGGCGAGATGGTTGCGAGAATTTATTCCCTGGGGAATTTCATGAATGCATTACCGATGCTAACAGTGAAGCAGGGAGAAAGGGCTGAATACCGAGTAATTGGCCTGGGGAAGGCTGCAGGACCCGACGCAGCTCCCAGCCCTTTGCGTGCCGCCGTGTTTTCGGGGCCCGTCCCGGTTCCCTCAGCTGATGTAGGTGGGAAATGGCTGCGCTGTCCTAAGAAACTCTTTGCAGCTTCAACCTTTTTTTTGCCCGTTCTGCTTTTGGGATATAAAAGCAAATGTAAATCCCTCAAACAGAAATTACTCCAAGGAAATTCATACCATGTACAGCGAAGCGCTTCATCCCGACAGCTTCAAAACATTTCACTGAGATTTTGATCTTTTCTTCAAAACCTGTTTACGGTTCAAAAAAATAAAAAAAAAGTGTGTATGTATTTGAAATCGTGTATGTATTTGAAATGGAGTATTTCTTACAAGCAGGCTAAGTGCATAGGAACTCTTCTTGTGTGAAAAGCAAATGAAGTTTTCCAGCAAAGGAAAGAAACTCGGAGCTTCCCTGGC